CTTTATCTTGGCTATTTTTCTTCGTAATTGAAACCAGAGTGTTGATATTTTAGCCTTTTATTTGAAAGGTATGTTAGAAAAGGTAACGACACAAAGAACCCAGCAATTCTCAGATTTTTCTTTGTTATTGAAAGAACCCAGTTTAATGCAGCACATGCATAGTAAGTCAAAAAATTGCGATCGAATGCAGAATTAGCTTTCTCGGAAATATGCCTATCTATCGAGAACCACTTTCACAAAATTTGGCACGAAAATACTTTAGGAAGTAACTGGAGTATTGAAAAAAAATATGAACTTAAACAAAGGAAATTTTAGAAATTCCAGTGAACCTTCAACAAGGGATAATTAAAGATCTCTCTGTTAAATTGTTATCAAAACAGTGTCAGCTTGTGAGTACCATTACAAGCTTGTTGCATGGAAATTATAAAGAAAATCTAATGACTAGATCTCCTGCAAATAAAAAAAAAAAACCAATTTTAAAGGCCTGTTTATATTTATTCATGTTACTGGCACATACGTCAGCTTATCTATCAAAAAAACAAAGTTTGTTGTTAACTTGCTTACTGCCATTTTTGGTGACCAAAGGATCAAGCGTTTTAGAGAAAAGGTTAATGAACACAGGGATCAGAAACTGTGTTCAGCCACCTTAAATAATTAAAAGTACCCTGTTTTAAACCTGCCTTATAATTAGTTCCTTAGCTCAGACCAATGTTAAAGGCATTTTGAAGGGCTTTTGTTGATGGTCTTATTGATAGTGATTAAAAAAAAAATAGCTTCTTCTAAAAATCATACTAAATTGAAGACTAGAGTGTAAAAACCATAACCTATTTCCAGAACGGCCACACTTGATACCCTATTTCTGATCAAACATGCTAAAAACCCATACCCTTTGGGGCCGCACATACTTACCGGTATTGTGTTGATCTCCCAATTCTGCAGCATGAAACAACTAGGATTATTTTTGCTTCCCCCTGGGCTGTGATGCTAGTCCATCACAGGATCACTCAAGCAGAAAGATGTTAGTGCCTTGCCGGAGAACACAACAATGACTCACTTTGGTGCGCCGCACATTATTCATATGTTAGTCACAAGGTGCACCGAGTAAGGTTATACGGTTGCATAAATGTTGTGTGGGAGGAAGAAACTGACAAACTTTGCCGTGGGGTTAAATTTCATTCAGTTACATTAAACCACAAATTATTATGTCGCGTCAATGCTCAGCCTGGAATTTGCACTCTTACATATACATGTACATTCTGTGAGAATGAGGCTTGATAAATAATTGGATGCGCTTTCCTTTCCTTGATTAATTTGTCAGGTTGAGTTTTAATGACACTGAAAAGGTAAACCTTCTGAAACATAAATTTCAGCTAGAGGTATAGAATAGGAGGAAAAAAACAAATCAAATCACATGCTGTGCACGCTACATGTTAACTTTATTACAAGATTCTAAATGAAAACAAAAGAAATAAAAAGTCTATTCTGTACAAAAGCTACTAAAATTAACACTTCTAAGTTACAAAATTATTGACAATGTAAGTTTATGTTTGTCCTCCTCCTCGAGGAGTTCGACCTTGCCTGCCACGCATCTGTGTTCCGCGCCCACGATGAGCACCAGGACCTATACAGCATCAAGAAAAATAACTGAGTGTCTGCAACATTCAATTCTGAACTGATGAATTCAACCCTACAGATGTTTGCTTCAACAGCTGAATAAAGCATGTGAGATGTTGAAAAACTGAATGGATTAAGTAACAACAAATTACAAGAAGCAGTGATAACAACAAAGATGGCTCAATACTGATGCTGAATGCCAATACTTCACACCAGTCAAATCCCATTGGACTAATACACCATTAAGAGAAATGACAGTGTTTCTATGAAATGACTCTGAATAGACCTTTTTATCTTGGGCGGTGTGTTACCCCATTTCAGACCATGTGATAATACTCTTGAGAATGCTTGTTTTCAAATTTTCAAATAGTCCTGTGTATATGAGTGAATAATTTTTAGATGGATAAAAGAAGAATTATCTAGAGAATATCAGGTGGTCTGTAATGGGAAAACAAACAACTCAAGCTAGCAAGGTCTGTTCCATCTGAAGTCAAAAGCAGTTGACCAATCAGGGAATTTGTAGCACCTCGAGTTATCTGTTTATAAATTCTAACTTCATCGTTCCAAAATCTTACCTCTAACAGGGTCCCTTCTAAGTCGACGTACTCTTCCTGATGCAGGAGCACCTACAAAGCAAATTGAAGTATTTGTTATTATATGTACTACCTGATAAGGGAGATGCCTAAAACAAGCATTCACCCCCTCTCAACTTGGGTGCGTAAACTTCTGCACCCATGACCCACATTATACAGAGGCCACAAGGAAATTGTCTGTTCAAGTTGACCAAATGGTGAAAGGGACTTCCAAAGAGTAATAATCAAACAAGGGTATGAATTGCTACTTTTAAACTGATCTCATTCCCATAGCCCTTGCTCTCCCCTGTTACTGACCAGTAGAAGAAGAGCTTCTGGGAAACAGATTGGCCAGGCAAAAAATTGTCTCGAGCACAGCTGAAGCACAGCTAAAGATTTTTGACATTTGTTCCCTTAAATTTGCATAATGTATTCCTATTATAAATATTTTTATTTCTAGTTTAGCTGCATGAATGTCAAGTATCGTATATTATAATGTGAAGGTCCCTAATACAACAACCACAAAGATTGAAAATACTACTCCTGGCTTCTTACAAGAGATGATTGGTTGCAGTACCCAAGCACACATCAAGTAAACAGACTTGTTTCACAGTGCTCTCACCTCTTTGTACTTGCTGACCTCCTCGTGCATTAGACCAAGTAGATGTTGTAGCAGGCCTTCTTAACTGTACTACAGAGCCTCTACCTCGATTTGAATCTGGATAAAAAACAACAATAACAATACTTGGTTTGTCTTAGTTTCTTTGTAGCAAACCTGATACTGTGCAAAAGAAACTACACATAGAACGAATCTTTTACCACATAGTCATACAATTCAATAGCTTCACTGCATAAAATTTATTCCTTATCAATAATTACACTGATCATACTGATCATATATACATGTACCTTGTTTAGCTTTAGCTGCAGCCCCAGTCCCCACTGTTGTTGTTGGCTGCAATGCAGAGGCAGATTGGGCACCAGTGCTATAGGATTCTCCTGAAAAAAAAGGGCATAATTTGTAATAAAAATGAGATACTGAAGCAGAGTCAATGTCGTTAGCTTTCGACACTTTCGTTAGCTTTCTCAAGTAAATATGGCAGGAATCAATTTGTCACATGAGCTTGGGCRGACCCAAAAGTCAGGTGCCATCCCTCACTGTCTTTGTAGCATCACATGTTTCAAACTTTTGCTTCGAGTTTCATGATTCTAAAGGGACCCACATTTGGAGGGATCTGAAGGTTTGATCAAAAGCAGTGTGTAACTAAATAATAATAATAATAATAATAAAAATAAATAATGTAGCCCTTAATAAATATTTACTTCTCTCACCAGATGTGCCAGGCTGCAAAATGTCATCCTTTACAGACTCTTGAGCTTCACTTATTGTTAGCTCACTAGAAAAACAAAGTGACAGTATTTCTCACTTATAGCAGTAATTATTTCCTCCTTTGTAACACTGATTAAGACCCAGGGGATTGTACAAGCAAATACATAGTAAAGTTGCTGCACACTAGCCGATTTTCTGTCAGCCGACAAAAAATCTTCACTTGTTGGCTAGTGTGCAGTGAATTCAGACAAGTCTGCAACAAGATCTGGGCTTGTCGGGTGATATCTGACAGTGCTAGATCTCAAAACGTCTTGTCTGGCCTTGTCGGCTAATGTGCGATGGACCAAGACAATTTGTCGGGGCTTGTGTGCACCTCAACCAATTAGGAAATTTCATGAGAGTCATGCCACTGCTAACCGCCAAGGATGCTAGCCACAAATGCCAACAAAAGAATTGAACTTATTCAACTGGTAGCTGCTACTACATGCTTCATTGGCATGAGTCCAAGACCCCCCAAGGAGAGCTTGGGAGACCACAACTGACCTTGCACTTCATAGTTAAACTATGTCAAATTGAATTTAACATGGCTCAAAATGATTGGATACATTCACCTTTGGCTATTTACAAGGTTTAACTGCTTTTTTACCCTTACATGCCCTATACCAACCTTTCTTTTCCTTCTACATCTTGGACTTCAGCTTCATCTCCTTCCTTCAATGCATCCACGTCTTCCGATAATTCCACAACTTCAGGGTCAAGACTCTCGGGGTGAGCCTGCGACACTGGTACATTCTGTTCAGCAGATTCTTCTGACACCTCAGTTACAGGTGTGACCATAATGGCAGGCACAGTGGCAAGACTTCCAACTTCTGACTCACTTTCCAAGCTTTCTGAAGAGAGCTGCCTAGTATCTGAGCTTATGCTTGGAAGTCTCTGATTGGACTGGCTACTGGCTTCAGATGTTTCTGGTAACCCTAAAAAAGGAAAAGAGTAATGCAGAGTGAAGACTTAGTCCAGACTGCGCCTTTAAATCCCACAGGCTTTATCCCCCTTAATTTAATAAAGGAAAAAAAAAAAGGAAATAAACTATTTGTACTATAGTAACATAAACACGATCAAGGAAATCTTGTAGGCTTGACCTCAAATTTTAAAATTGCTTTTATTAGTGATATTTATTTGTAATAAATTGTTTTTCCTAACACAGGTTCACATCACTTTGTTTTGCAATGAAAAGCATAACCAAGATAAATCATGTGTAGCTGTGTAGCTGACTTTCATTTTAATAATGCTAACAAATTTAGAATTTGACAATGGTTTTTCTTGCGGACGAAGGAAAATCAGAGTACCTGGAATAAGACACGCTGAGCATAGCAAGAACTAACATAAACAGTCAATTTACAAATGCCTCCAGGCCAGTTCTTGTCAAACCTGCACATGATATTGCTGTAAATCTAGAGACACAATTATGCAAAAGGACTTACTAATGAGGATAACCTACGTATGAATAGTGCAAACCTACCAAATCTAACTGATCTACCTTTGTTTCTACCTCGTCTTTGTTTTGATTGATTTAGTAAAAAGGTGAACTGTTTTTGCCGTCCAACTTTGTCTCTCACTATTGCTAAAACCGTAGGCTTCTCTGCCTTCCTGTGCGTCTTAGCATCTTCCTGACAACTTGCACAGCCTCTTTTCTCCCTTTTCTTCCTCATTGTCCTACCTGTAGGCACCACAAAGGAGGGCCTCTCATTAGAAGGCTCATCTGAGCCCCCCATAAGGTCCACTTGAGTGTCATCCACACGGAGACCTGCAAAAGAATGTGCCAAACAAGACAGAAGAAGCAACCATCAAAATTACCTTCAATATTTTTCATACCCTTTCTATAACTGGCATTTCAGCTAAGATGTTTCCTGAGATGAAAGATCAAAACTTTTAACATTCAATAAACTGCTTAATGGAGTTATACCACAGGCTAAACATGTACTGCAAAACACATGACCTAAGTGGCATAACACATTGAAGCAATGTTTTCACTAGTAAATTTCAGTCAGAAACAAGTTTGGTTTGCAAATATGTTTTGAAATGGAATAAATTTGTTGAAACGTTTAAAAGATTTTTTTTCTACGCCTGATTTCATTTGAACATCAGTACTAACCAACTCACTTTAGCATGAATGCTCGTTTAAGTGGAATGCATGTTCAAACTTTGATAGCTTGGTGGCCAATCATGTTGCAAACTTAAGTTGTGTATTTGCACCACGTGTGAGATGTAACTGATGTTAGTACGGCAAGTGNATTGGATGGAACGTGAATAAACCCAAGCAGTTAAACTGTCTGTGTTACCCTTGTGGCCATAACAGAGCTCCGTTAACTTAAGGTGCCTGCTTATGCAAGGTCAAGATACAAGGTTGTGGTCTAAGAATAATTACAAGGAGCCCAAAGGTTCCTAACCATGAAATTCTGGGTGCCCAGCACTTATAAGCTTATATGAAAAAGAAAAAACGTTTTTCCAGTCACCCAAAGGCAAAAGTTAGTCACCTGTGACACCTGGGCACAGGTCTCTGGAACACAGCCATGGGATAGATACATGTATGGAATGGGGAGGGGATTATTACCGATTAAGGGATTATTTGTCCTTTCTTGTTCCAAATGCCACTAAACAGGAAGGAGTGCAATTTTGGGAGTTGCCATCTTCTTGTGGATGGCTTTATTCAGGAGAGAATACAAAATCGACAGTTAAAACTGCCGGTATTTGAAGGTGCATGTTATATAATATCAGGGATGTACAATTTTTACAGATTGCATGTCTTACCTGAGGGAATGAAAAAGGTGCCAAGTGGGACCTGGCACTCAGGAGTCGTTGTGCATACGGTGCTGTAGTGGTTGGTGCGCTTCTCTGTGTGCTCTCTTCCACAGTTTCTGGGACACTGAGCTGTTCTGTTGTAGAGATTTCTCTTTCAACATTTGTCTCAGAAGTCTCGGCTTGTGGTAGCTCATGTTGACCATCTTGCATTCCTTCAGCAACATCATCTTCTGCAGATCAGACAGAAAAAAAAAAAACAGACTGAATTAGGTGTGTATAAGACTTGTAATTAAGCTATCAGGTTGAGTTGTCTATAAACTGATGGTGAACAAGGGGTAGCCCGATTGATGGTCACTCAACATAAAATTTCCTTGTTCTTTCATGGCATAAATGAAAAGGAATGTTGCTTTAAATTTTGTAACAATAATCACGACAAACATTATTGAGAACACTACTCACCTTCTATTTCATCAGCATCCTCCTCCCCCATCTGCGTATCTTCAATTGTCACCTCTTCTCCGACATCTTCCTCAACGTCGTCGTCATCATCAATCACCTCCACCACCTCTTGCTTCACATTATCCTCCTCTTCATCTTCACCAATGTCTTCATCTCCTTCATCAACACCCTCTTCCTCCATATACTCCTCTTCCTCCTCTTCACCTTCATCTTCTTCCTCCATGTCACCATCTTCTCCCTCGACATACTCGTCACCTTCCTCCACATACTCTTCCTCTTCTTCATCCTCTCCTTCATCTTCTTCCTCTTCAACTTCATCTTCATCACTTTCAATCAAAACCACCTCTGGTGCCCCAGTTGAAGCTTGAACAATCTCTTGTGTTTCAGCAGCTCCTTCTTCTGACTCCTCTTCTTCTTCCCCTTCCCCTTCTTCCCCTTCGTAAACATCAAAATCAAAATCCTTGATGGTCTCTTCTCCTTCAAGTTGATTATCACCTGCACTCTCGGCAGTCGTATCTTCTTCTACAACCTCCTCTTGTGACGTTCCCACTTCATCTTCGACCTGCTGTACATGGAAAATAATACACGCAACCTGCTGTGACACTGCGACGATCAAGCTCATAAATAACAATTATACCTAAAACCATAATCTGGACACTATTCTACATGGGAGAAAGTAAGAAACCCTACTGGAGATTCACACTATGAACTAGTACTCATGTTTGCTTACTCTACAGGGTCAGCTGCAGAGAGACATTGTGACAACAAACTCTCTAACCCCAGAACAAAATACAGTGATCCTGGCCACTGTTCTAAGCTGGAGTACTCCATTAAGTCACTGCTCATTCCACTGTATAGATCGCAGCTGATTACGTTTTACTTAATTTTACAGTTACGAACCTCTAAAGTCCTGATTTTCTTTGTCACAGGTTCATCATCTGTACTTGAACCCTCAGCAATTTCAGTTGTAATTCTGAAAACAGAAGAAGGTAATTATAAGTTATTGTATATCATAAATAAGAAGATTCAAAGTGTTGTAAACCTTTGGATAACAGCTAATAAATTGTAATTATCCTATCAGATTCTAATGGAATACTAAATATTGATTGCAATCTTTGCTCCTGAATTCTTTTGAGCATGTTAGAAATACAGCTGAGCCTCCAATAAATTCACAATAAAATAACTTTTAAGTAGAATGCTTCAGCTCTTTTGCCTGGATTTTCTCTTCAGGCCTATATATACTTGTATGTAAGTCACTGTCATTTGTCCCTCATACCTCTCAGTCACTTGAGGCTCATCTCTCTGTCTCTTGCCAGACACTACAGCTGTAGATGGAGTTGGCTGCAGCTGTTCACTAGCGGTAATTTCCGTGGATGATACCTCTGGCTCTCCTCTGACAGCATTCAAGATAAAGTTAATAATTATTTATTTACTCTGTGAAAGCTTCTAAAGCTGATTAACTGAATTTCTTTTGAAGGTTACAAGGCAGGTTGTCTCTCTCCTCTGACATGGATTAAACAATAATTGCCACCTATTTGCAGGAAAGGGTAGTTTATTGTTAACTACCCTTCCCTGCACATACTGGCAGCCACAAGCAATATGTTTGTTGAACAAGAACATTTCATAACCCAACAAAACATCAAACATGCGGCAATAAAATCTGCATCAAAAAAAAGCCCTTAGCTTCCTTTCAGAGTAAAAGATTTCACACTTAATTCAAGTCATGTATTACTCACTCTGGATGCTGCTGCTGCTCTACTTCTGCAGTGCTAGTGATTGGACGGACAGACACTGTAGTTGGTACAGAGGTTGACACGCTGCTAGCAATAGAAATAGCTGTCCCCGTACCCCTTATGACTCCAGCTATGCTTGCAGCTTCCGAGGGGGTGGAGGTGACTGTGGGTAAAACAGTTGCTGTGGGGGTAGGGGTACTCTGTGTTGGTGCTACTGCTATGGGTCGGACACTGGCCTTGGGGCCGGATCGTTTGATTGGTGTGGGAGTAGTGGTTGGTTTTATTGTTGCTGTTGGTGGTACAAGGGATATTGGTGGTGCTGATGTAACAATGATACTTGTTGGTGTTTCTGCAACAAATTTTTAGTACTGAGTTATGCATGCCTTACATGAAAATCTTATTAGAAAAGTCATTCAAGTAGTTTCTCTAGTGGGATCTTCTTGGTAAGGGTAGTAGGCTTGACTCTGAAAATGAGTTCTGCTCCAGTTGTCGAAACATAGTTCTCCAACAACATTCTTTTGAGAGAATTACTGTCACCCAGATGATCACAATGGGGGAACTACTGATCCTCCTGAGTTCAAACCATTAAAAATAGTTAAGGATGTACATGAATCTAGGCTAAAATGATCAAGATACATTATTGTTACCAGCTTAAAGGAGTCAAATTTGGTACTGGCTGATGGGCAAGGGACCTCTGGAGTCCCGAAGCCCATAAGATTTTGTCTCAGTTCCTATAATGTATTGCTGTTCTCTTCCTTGAGTGCAGACCAAAATGCTCATTATTATTATTAATCATTGAGATCTTGATGCAATACAACAGAGCCTTGAAGCACTTCTGTATTGGAACCCTAACAAGGATTTCCATGCTATAACTTGGCAGATATGTTAGTGATAACCTGTGATAAAATAATTTTGGTAATTTAATCATCCTATTGGATTTTGGGGAATCATTCACGCTTCCTTGAAATAGAACTGCTAACATTCAACACATTTCATACCCTTGGTGAAAGTCCAAACAAATTCCAAACCTTGGATAATCCCTACTACAATATTAAACAACTGCAGCTCTGTTTGTGATGTTGTTCATTCATTTAACATAAAATCAATTTTTTACCAACCTTGTGTTGCAGTTGTCTCAGCACCAGTGACCTCCCCTGGAGTAGGCCTTGATATGGAACTTGATGCACTGACTGAAGTCTTCATTTTCATTTGCTGTTTTTGTATGATTGTTTGATATTGTTGAACCTTCTGTTGAAGTTTCTCCATGTCACTGAACAGAAAGGGAAAAAAAAAGACAGTCACATTTTCTGACGTTCTGATCACATTAATTTTTTGCATCTTCAAGAAAATAGTTATCCCATGCTAAACTGTCTCTCTTGGCATGCTCAGGTCCTCCTTGTCTGGGAGGGATCACAAATTCCTAAGAAAAATTACATACTGATGTCATACTTTGCTTGATTAAGGAAGACAGTTCACAGCTATCTTGTGATCTGAAAAACCATTAGGCCTAAGAATCCCCATCAAAGTGTTTAGTTTATGCCCAAAGAGGAAAACCAGAGAGTCCAGGGAAAATCTTTGGTGCAAGAACAAGTTAATGCTCTCATTACTAACCAAAATTTGTAACCCCACATACATGTAGCTCCACACAGATCCATGCAGTGCATATGATTGAGTTTTGTTCAGTTTTGAATTTCGTGAATGAGGAACTGTTAATTAATCCAAACCTCTTCGAGAGATCTACAGTATATAACGACATGTCATTACTTAATATGAAGATTTAGAGTCAAATTGGCTATTACTTGGTGTAGAAGACATCGCTGATGTAAAACAATAGAGAACAAAAGGACGATAAAAATAAAATCAATAGATCTGTGAAGTGGTGTTCTATTGTGACATCTCCTGTGTCTTCTACACTAAGATGGAGATGTCATATCCTAAGCAACTGCCTATTTCAGGAGGTTATAAAGTAATCAACTTACAGTTTTTGTTTGCGTTGGTTCTCCTCCAGTTGCTTCTTCAGATCCTCTGCTGCCTTCCCATTCTGTTCCTTCTCAACTTGAGCATCTTGTAACTCTTTCTCTAGCCTTGTTATTTTTCCTTCATATTGTGAGTTCAGCACTTTTATTCTCATCTCCAGCTCACTCAGCTGCTGGCTTAAAGTCTCCTTTTCGTCACTAACTGATTTGTGCTTCTTTTTCAGGTCTTCATTCTCTGCATTCAGTCTATCTTTGGTAGCTGATTACAATATTTATAAAAGCAGTTTTAAGTAATGTTTAAAAAACGAGCATCAGTGTTTTATCGGATTTAAAACACGAGGTGTAGCCGAGTGTTTTAAACCCAATAAAACAAATGCTGTGAGTTTTTTGAACAGCTTCAAAAACGTTTGTGGTAGATCTACTCATTTGCAGAATAATCCTTGGGTTTATTATTATTATTCTGGAGAAAATCCACTGCAAAATTTAGCCGTGTATTTATCAGATTTAAAGAAACTCATTAATCATTAATTTCTTTTGTATTTCCTTTAAAAATCAGTAATGAGTTTTTGGAGGAATTAGTATTTTCTATTCCTTTGTAAGACTGCAGATCTAGTGATCTCATTCTAAAGCAAGAATGAGCACTCCCTCTCTGTTTAGTAGCTAAAAGGGTGAAATGGTTATGAAACCTCACTGGCCAATTCTTTGTGATACATTCTTGTTTACTATTCTGGCCTTAAACATACATAAAACATGTAGTATAAAAATAGAAATCAAATTATACAGTAAGGTAATTAAACTAAAGTGTGTAAAGGAAAAACAAAAGAAAAAGTCCTTGACCTTCCAACGTACATCTTGGTTAACTTGGACTGCTTGTTGGAAGTTTACTGTACTTCATAACCGTTTCTCTCTATTAACTATGCAAACCCCATTTGCATTGGTAATTACATGTAATACCCTGGGGATTACGCAAATGACAGNAGTATAAGAGAATTTAACATGCGTTCCACCTCATCACTGTACTCGAGGCCATGAAAGCAAAGAGGTTGGCAACCCACCCTCCCACCTAATGAGTAAGTCGGGCTTGATCTCTATTTTTCGCCTGGTCTTAGGCTTGTCCCAGGCCAGAGCGATTCCCCAGAACTTATTACCATGTCATTAATAACAATACCCAGGGTAGAATATTACTCTATGAAATAAGTAAGTGAACTTTCAAATATCAAATAACACTCATGATTTAGCCTGGCAATGATTATTCTAAGAAGAAGACAAAAGATCAAACATTTGTTTTACAATTTGATTAGACAATCACACCGCATTGCTTAATGACAATGGCTTACTGCATGAAAGATTAAGCATGAGTGCCAATAAATTATTTTATTACATGTATTCATTCACTAGCATACCTGTAAGCTGTTGCAACTTTTCTCTAGCTTGTATTAGGACTTTCCTGTTTTTGTCCTCTTTCTCTTTCAAGAAAGTCTACAGGAACAGAAGCATGTTAAAACAAAACAAAACAAAGACAAACAATAAAAACATCTTACCACGACCTCTGTCAAAAGTTTTACAAGACTGGAACTTGTCTTGGGATTCAGTGGCATGAAACAACTGGGATTGGTCAAGTTACAATCACCAAATTGAGAAAGTTCTGTGCTTCAAAATTGAAAAATGTAAGACCAC